CTCACTGATCCAGGTGGTGAAATTCTTGGCTGATATTAAAAAGTCTAGAGAATCCTTTTCTGCAGTCTCCATGACACTGCTACTTCAACAGCCTTCTTGAATGTAAGTGCTGATATAGTCAGTAACTTTTCCAGATCTAGTCACTGGGCATCATTTAATGCTTTTTCCAAACTGGCATTGTCCTGTCAACTTCCTTAGAGCAGCAGCAAATTGTGTTACTGACTCACCACTTCCCTGATGGAACTGATATTGTTCTGCTGTCATTGATGGGTCAGGACAGGGCCGGTTTTGCGCCCTAGGCGAAACTTCCACCTTGCGTCCCCCCTCCTCCTTTTGTCCCCCTGGAGCATTGCTTATTATAAACTTTCAAAAATGAATACAGTGGAGTCACATCTTACGTGAGGGTTAGGTTCTAAGGCAGCGCGTAAGAGGAAAATCGCGTATAGTGAAAATTACCATAAAGTACAGTACACACAGTATACATTAGAACAGGGGTCCTCAACCTACAGCACGTGCGCCAAAGGTGGCACGTGAGACAATTTTTTTTTTTTAAATGGCAGGCTGCGGGTCCCAGCTGCTGCTGAGCCCGCTGCCGGCCTGGGGTTCTGTTCACTCAGCCGGCAGTGGGCTGAGCGGGGCCGGCGGCCGGGACCCCAGACCAGCAGCGGGCTGAGCTGCTCAGCCCATTGCAGGTCTGGGGTTCTGTCCGCCGGCTCCTGCCAGCCAGGGTCCTGGCTGCCAGCCCCACTCAGCCCACTGCTGGGACCCCAGCTGGCAGAAGCCAGCGATCCTCTTTCTAGGTGAACTTTTTCCCCTTTAAAAAAAATTTCATCTTGGTAAATGGGAGCACGGTGCACTCATGGGATAGAAGGTCAGCATTGACAATATGTTATATTTAGACCCAGCAGAGAAACAGATAGAAACAGCTGTCTGCTGTGGAGATTATCATTCTGGCAGCAAATCTGAAACCAACATGAAAGTGAGGCTTTGCATTGGGGAGGAGGGAAGTGCTCAAACATTTAAAGGGACAGATCATCACAAGTCTAGACAAGGCTTTACCATAGTCATTTATGCCTGTGAGGGTAGGTGTGAAATGCTACCACATCAGAACGGTAGCTTTTACACTCATTTCACACAGATGTAAAGGATTCCACAAGGTACAAGACAGGGAGAATCAGGCCCATGAACTTTGGACTACCAAAGCTGCATTTAAATGTGAATTTAAAAGGTGTTTGTAGCAAGTAAAAAAAAAAAAGTACAGAATCATAACATTTGTTTACTGTGTTAGGATGAAATGGCTGCCCCACAACATGATGCTTGCCACCCGTGTTTGCAGCCCATTGTGACTTTAGGGCATATCCATCCTGGTTGTAACACCATTCATTTCAGTGAATAAATTTGGCGTTTCATGCATGCACCAGAATGTTTTGAACATTTCTTGTATCACCTGCTTTTTCAGTGCTGCCACAACTTTCATGCCAAGCTAGTCCATATTTTTGCAACCCAGGACTGGAAAGAGGAGGCACAGATGCAGCCTGAGGTGTCCTCCACCAGCACGCCACAATCCGAGATAGATCCAAGAGTAAAACACTAGGGCAGCTAGCATGCATTATTGTAGGATGCCAGCCAAAACTGTGCCAACTGTGCCTTTAAGACAGTTCAGTGATAGTCACCTTCCCCTGTGAGTGACTGAGAATGATTCATCACCTCAAAAAGATGTGTTATAGCCAGTAGTGACAGCCATGAGATATTTTCAGAGTCCTGTAGAAGTAGAGAATTTAAAATCATGTAGTCCCATACTCATAGGTTCAGATCCTGGATAGCCTTATGTAAGTGACCACACTGAAGGCATGCGAGTAAAAGTTTGTAGGATTCAGCCCATACACTCCAGCCCTTTTCAGAGAAGAACTGGAATACATTCAGAGGCTGCACTTAGCAGTTATATGGTGAAGCCTATTTCTCAATTATTAAGAAAACAATGTATTAATTTTATCCTTTTACAAAATAGGACAATATGCAAGTCTTGCACTTTCCACAACACTGATCTTCAGGCTTAGCAAAATTTGATTTTTTTAAATATAATTTTGACTGATAATATCAATGTATTTTTAAAGCATTTTCCCCCTATTTTCAATATAAGTTTTCACAATTATGCAAAATTATGATGTGATGCTATGCCCCATATTCTTCAGAGATATTGTTATGATATTAATATGGGATAACTAAGATATGTTTTATGCAAGTTGGATCACGTGAGGTATCATTGGAAAGGTTATGATGTACTGACTATGATATCCTATTTGTATGCATGTATCATTGCTGTATCTGAAGTTAGGAATATTGACTATGTAACAATTACAAAAGTGTTTGCACCTGGGGAACGCCCACCAGACAATGCAACCAGTCTGGCTAGTTAGTCAATAAACCATTAGGGATAATAATAGGCTGGTTAGTCAATAAGCCATTAGGGATAACAATAGGTTTTTGAAGATGCTTATCTCAGACCTTCCTGAGATGCTGCTTTGACACTGCAGGGTCATGTGATTATGTCACCTGGTACTGGACACTATCTTGAACTGCTAGTACTTTTCCACGAGTAGGGGGGTGGGGATCCAATTGGGAAACAAATGATTCCCACCATATGTAAATCTTGTTTAAGGCTGGGAAGTGAGTTAATCAGGGTTTGTTCTTCACTGAATCCCCACCCAGGATGACTGCTGGAGACATCTAAGAAACAAAGACAAAAGCATGGGGCGGGGTGGGGGAGTACTGAACGTGGGCTGGGAATGGTTTCTGGTCCATGAAAGATATACCTGGATTTTTAAGCTGCAAGCAAGAGCTGTCTGTCCACAAAAATTCTGCAACCTGCTTAAAACAACATTTAGGATGAGAAATTACTACTTGTAGCCAGTTTCTTCAGTGTATTGAGCTTAGTTTGCGTGTTTATTTGCTCAGTAATATGCTGAGATCTGTTTGCTATCCCCTATAATCACTTAAAATCTACCTTTTGTAGTTAATAAACTTATTTTTTGTTTATTCTAAAACCAGTTTGTGTAATTCATATGGGGGGGGGGGGGGAGACACAAAATGCTCCTCCACATGAGAGTCAAAATAGTTGGAACTTTATGCTCCAATTCTAACAGCTGGCATTTGTGTATGCCTATTCTCATTTAGTTAGTCTCTGAGCACACAGATATGTGCTAGGAACCATCCAGAGACAAAAATAGAAGTGGTCTGGAACAAATATCAAATTTGTATTTTAGTCACTTTCATCATAGGACCAATTCATGTAATAAATGAATTGAACTGAGCAAATAAGAATTCTATATAAAAGGCATTAATAAAACCAGAGATGACTCGTATCTGCAGGGTGGGGGCAGGGCAGAGTGAGGACAGCCGCTTCAGCAGATGTTACTAAGCATGCTCAATCCATGTGAGCATGGTCAGTACAAGCCAAGCAGCAACTCGGGGTGGGGTGGGGAAGGGCATGACCCCACACGTCCCTCCCCCACTCATCACTTCTTTAATATTATTTGTTTTATTCAGCGCCAAAGACCCATTTCCCCACTACTTATATCTGAAAAGTCAAATTCATCCCTCTTGTAATTCTTCTGAAGTCCATGCAGTTACAGTAGGATGAATTTGTGTTTTTATATCCACAGTTTTAATGGGTCTCCAGAGGTGCTGTGCAGCACAGCAGAGCCGATTCCTTTAGCTTCAGAGCTAGATGTGTTAATATCCATTTCAATCTGGCATCCATGCCTCCTGACTGACCCCCCAATAAAGGAACAGGTATCCCAAAATCTCAAATATCAGCAGGCAAAGATTTGTCTAGTGGGAGCTGCTATAAAGCGGGGTTATGTGTTGTCCTTTAACCTTTCCCATTTTTTCTTTATTTTTTTTAAATTGTTTGCTGTTTAATAAATTGTATTTGCTTTGAACTGTATGTAATGATCAGAGGGTCAGGGAAGCATCCAGTGCAGAGAGAGCACCCTGTGAAGAGAGAGCACCCCAGAGTGGGGACACCCTAGCCCCTTCCCTAAGTGACCATGACAAGGTTGGGGATGGAGCCCACCAGGAATCTTGGGCCCAGCCTTGTTGGGATTATGAGGACTCTCCTGTGTAGCAGAGTGTAAGGGGAGCCCTTGAGGTCAGGCAGACCTCTGGGTAAAGGAAGTAGGAGTGAGGATTCAGATCCTTTCTCTAGCCCATTTCACCGGGCTAGTGTATAAGCCAGGAAAGTTCCCCACAATAGCAGGACCATTGCCCCACTTACACAAGCATGCTGGCTCTGGTGAATCCCATTCTGAAGTGCCTAAGTGCTGAACTCAGGCTTTATGATGCTCAGTGATTTTCTAAGCACCTAAATTGAGGGGTGGCGATGCTCAGCATTGCAAGGCCACAGGGTCTGTGTCTCTTTGTGAATCTAGCCCCTACAGTGTCACTGTTTAATGTTTAGGTGGGGGGGGAATAGCTTAGTGGTTTGAGCATTGGCCTGCTAAACCCAGGGCTGTGAGTTCAATCCTTGAGGGGGCCATTTAGGGATCTGGGGCAAAAAATCTGTCTGGGGATTGGTCCTGCTTTGAGCAGGAGGTTGGACTAGATGACTTTCTGAGGTCCCTTCCAACCCTGATATTGTATGATTCTAGGATAAACAAAGATGCAATTTAAGAAGCCTCCCTTTATCACACATAGGAGAAAAAAAAGTTGCCTAAAAAAACCCAACAAAAAACAAACCCCGCACACCCCAACCCATGTGGATACTGAGTCTTATAAAAGTGTCCAAAATGAAACTTGTTAAGAGGGTGAAGACATCCAGGCTTCCGCAATTTGTTGTTTTGAATGCATTTCTAACCATTTGCTCCCCCTGAACTGAGAAAATGCCTAAGCTTGAAAACATTACTCATCCAAATGCTGTCTCCTGACCTGATTTAAAAAAAAAAAAAAAACGACGCACAAATTCTAGCATGATAACTGCAAGACAAGAGAAATAAACTGGAACTTGAGATTAATATCAACAGCTGTATGCAAATACTTTGACCATCTTAAAAGAACATTATTAGTCTTTTAGTACACCAAGCCTTCATATATTACAGCTATTAAAACTTCAACACAAAGCCCTTTCAGGATGTTTTAATGATCAATGAATGACTTAATGAACATTGAGCTGCAGGCTATTAACCCAGAGTATGACCTCTACTAGCTATGAGTTAAGGCAGTAATAGTAGGGATGTAGCTTCCAAGGAAAGTATCTGGATAAATATGTGGAGTAATTAAATTCTGTGCTCTAGAATTTTACAGTTCCTATTGCTGAAACTTATGCAATTATTAAAAGAGAGAGTATCACCTAAAACCTTTTGCCAAAGAAATCCATTTTTTTGCATTGACTTAAATCTCCCTTTGGTACTTGAAAGCAAAGGTGTTCTGAAGAGACAGTGAGAAGTGGGGAGAGGGGGGGAAATAAAATTTAGGATGACTTAGCAAAACAATCTCCTTCAAGCTTTAGGGCATAATCAAGAGTGAAAAATAGGATATTTTTACCCTACTTTGAAAGAGTAATTGAAGGTCACTTCCAAAGGCAGGATATTGGAGAAGCTAGACCATTGATCTGTTCTGGTACGTTGAAACCTACATTCCTATGAATGTGTCTCAGTATTGTAGACTTCTGTTCATTTGTTTGTGCTGGAATCCAAACATTTTTATATTAATATTGTTTTCAGTCATGTTTCTTATTTTGAATGAAACATCAAGCTTGATAAAAACCTATATATAACTGATCAGATGAACAATGAGAACAGATACATTGTATTTCTCCATTTTAAAAATCCATTTTATGTCCCAGGTTACTAGGTATGTGATAATAAATGATCTTTTCATACAAATATCACAATGCTAGTGAATTTGGCTCTCAAATACTAGGGCTACAAGTACGGATTAGAGTTAACTGTAGGGAAAGCATTGGAAACATCACAAGTCCACCAAATGCATCAACTGTCCACCATGGCAAGCTGTGTACAAATCCCAGAAGAACATATCTGATAAAGATTACAAACCTCCCACCCTAATTTTTTCTTGCAATTTAAGTGAATATGGCCCCAGATACCAGAGGTAAAATCCTTTGGCATTACTCTTCACCCAATAAATCATCTCATTCCACTTCCTATATAAAACTTATTGAGAAACTGTGAAGGGAGGATTAGGGGTTCTTATTACACATAAACAAAGGAAGATCAATTTCAAAGAAGATAACATTCATAAGTATATTAAGCATTAGGAAGAAAACAGATGAACTGAAATTTAGGTTAGCTTATATTCAAATATCTTTTTTTCAGATTATAATTAAAAGCTCAAGTTTATTTTTCAAATACTGCTGCACTTCTAGCAATTAACTGAAAGGAGACTTTGTAGGCTATGGAACATGCAGAATTTGAAAAGCTCACAGTCAATCACGTGTGGTTCTTGATGGCTGCCCTACTTCACCTGAAGACAGATACAGTACTCTATGCATATTCATGAACTCTAATTCAATAAGGGATAGTGATTAGTTTTTAAAATGCGCACGTTGTACAGATGCCATTTTTG